AATTGGTTGAATTATTAGAGAATTCTATAGGTTAGGAGATAACCTTAAAAACAGGAACGTTGTTTCTTTTGTAAGATAGAATCTTTTCACGATCCCATCGTGAAATTGTTTCTGGTCGTTTTTGTTTCTAAAATCCAAACGAATCGATCTTGACGCGATTAGGGTGGGAGAACCTTGCTACGGAATTTCAAAGTAAACCTTATTTACGAACTGGTCGATTAATAAAACGTGCCGCGCCTTCGATCATTATCTCAGCGCCGTTTAAAACGGCGAGACCAACGCTGATGCCATAAAATCGCGTGGCACGTCTTTTCGCCATTTTCAATGTTGTTTTTGGCACCGTGTCACATTTTTGAATCGAGAAAATGATTAAAAATAATACCAATAAAAATTATCCGCGCATCTTCTATTTTTTTTTTTTTCGAATCTTTTCATTTCTTTGATCAATTATCAAATCTCATTTTTAAAAATTCCTTACAATTTTAGAATCTTAAAGTTATATCTCTAATTATTTTCATAGTATTATTTTAATTCTAAATATCCATGTATGATATATTTCGTCTAAACAGATCAGCAATGTTTCACGTCAATAAAAAAAAATTCCTTAGATTTATTCATTCGTAAAAAATGATTGTGAGGTCATTTTTGCATTCAAGAATGTACTTATCAACAGCAAAAATAAATAAGAAACAATCATAACGATAAATTAAAATAGCAGAAAAGGAAAACGCGCGTGGATTGAACGAGTGGGAGATGAGCGCGAGAGAATGGCTACGGTTATAGGTGTCGCTGCGAACGAGTCCGCCAAATAAATGTCCCGTGCACGCGATGAGTCACAAATCCTAATGAAAATAATAATGCCCGAAAGGATTCCGTTCTCTGTCGCAGGGAACGCGCGCGGCGTGCAACGCGGATAAATTTACTGCTTGATCTCTGCTCGGATAAGGCATACCTGGGGACACCTCGTCTGGGGTTATAGACCCAGGCATGCAACGGGTGGCACGGAAAGTACCGGTGGAAACAAGCTTGATCCTCTTGTCCCTTGCTTCGAAACCACGTCGTTCCACGTGTGGGATCCGTGTTGCATCGCGTCTCGTGGAAATAATTCTTGTCGAGGACCAGAACTCTGACTCCCCTGCAACCGGCACTCTCGAACGAGCCAATGAGATTTTCACCTGCCGAACGGATTTATCGTTGGTTTCGTCTTGGCCGAGACGTAGTCGAGAAGAAATCTCTCCTCGACTGTCCTCGGGTTTCTTTCCTTTTTTTTAGATTCTTCTTCCTACTTCTTCCCATGATTAGTATGGGATCTTCCATGGCAGGCGATAATTTCGCGATTCGAAAGATATTTTATTCCCCTATCCTCTACCGATGGATAGATAAGATTCAGAGATTGCAATGTTTGCAAATTTATGCTTCTCGCTTGGATATCGAATTAATTTTACATTCCAGATAATACATTTGAGATATAAAAATATTCCAAGACTAAATCTAGAATGAAATTATATTTTCACCACGAAAGTAAAGCAAAAGGTAAAGATTAACGCTCTTATTAATCGATTCCAAACTTTTGACCGTAGCAAAACTTGGAGCCGAGAATCGTTACCGCGATAAAAGGAATAGAGGGAACGGGTGTAAAACGGCGTCCGTTATCAGTTCGGTAGCGAGAGGCGTGCGGCCGTGTGCCAACTCGAGGGGACCGGTTCTCGAAAACACCCCGTAGACAAGTGTCGTGGCACTTGCGCGCCTGAGAAGACAGTGCCGTATCGCGGCGGCCACGTCTAAACGACTTGTAAAACAAGCGCTTAACGATTGCTCGTACCTGGATATAGAGAGTGTAGCAGGCGTGACGAAGAGGGAGCCAATGATGGAGGGAGAGAAAGGTTATGGAGAAAGAAGTCCGGAGCGCGAGGCACAAGAGCCCGATAGGTCCCACGTGCTTCGGCTTCGAGGAGGTCCAGCCTGCTAAATTGAGTTTACGAGACGTCGAGAGTAGTTCGTTCTTCTCTCTTTCTTCCTCTTTCTCCCCTCCCCCCTCTCTTTTATTATCTTCCTCCCTTCCTTCTCTTTTTCTACCGTTCGCTTTATATTTCTATTTGTCCGCCGATTTTACTCGTTTCACTCCCTGTTCGTAACGGCTCTTCCACCCTTAATTCACCGGTACCTAGGGAGAAGCGGTACCCTCTTCATCGAAGTTTACGCATCGACGCCGGTATTATCTTAACCGACGTTATTTCGCGCAGCCCTTATCCTCTTCCGCTTCTCGAAACGCTGGCCGATCACTGGCCGGCCCTTTTTTGCCTTGCAATTGTATTAGACTCGAGGAGGGTTCGCATAGGTTCGTATAGGTGTATACGTAGTAGGTTGTTGGAAGGAAACGTGTGTAAAGGTAGAGAATGTAAATAGATTAGAGTTGAATCGACTGGGAATATTAATTGGCAGTGTAACTGGTATGAACGCCAGGTGTGTGGGGTATTGTATCTATCAACTAACGAGATAGATACTTTGTTGAATAGATAAGGAATGGAATCTATACGAGTAGAACGAGGATTGTTGTAAATGTAGATTCTTGATATTTAATATAATTTAACGTGTACTTGTGGCGAAGGTGAAGCGTATCGAGGACAATATAGAATAGAATTTAGTATTTAAGAAGTGGAAATTATCATTCTAAAGTTAATAAAAATTATTGGATTAAATTTATGTTTACATCTCGCGATGGAAATAAATATTAATTTTTTTTTCGAATTTAAATCAATTTCGAAATTACTCTCCAACCCCTGTTCCTTTTGTTCTCGTTTCAGTGGGCAACGGGAAGATAAGACTCATGGCGGAGGACTAGGTGATTCGAGCAGCGAAAGTGGGGACGACACGAAGAGACAAGCGGTGAGCCAGCAACAGCAACAACAGCCGTCTTCTTGCGCTGTTCAGCAACAGCAGCAACAGCAACAGATGGTGGATCACCAGCAGACGTCGGGCATGTATCAACTTCCTCCTCCGGTCTCGGTGTCCAGCCCTCACTCGTACCACCAAGGCCATGGCTCGACCTTGAGTCATCCTCACACGCCGACGCACCACATGCAGCACCACGATACCGGAAGCGAGAGCGGGGACGACAAACGAAACCTTCATCATCAGTTGCAACACCATCTCCAGGTCGGTGCTCACGGTACTCATGGCTTGGTACATCCCACGGCGACCTTGCCACCACCGCCACCCAGCTGCGCCCAGCAGAAGAGCCAGTTGGACTATATGCAATACTATGGTCCACAGGTATAGTGAAATGTTTCGTGTGCTTCCGTTTATTCTTCCCCCCCTCCTTCAGTTCTTTTTTCTTTCTTTTCTTTTTTTTTTTTTAGCAGGGAAAAGAGGGATTACTCTTATGGCGAAGAAAGATGTTGTGAATTCGAATGGATAAGACTTTCGAGAAGTAATTTATAATGATTTGATGTTTCTTTTCTTTTTTTTCTTCTTCTTCTTCTTCTTCTTCTTTTGTTGAGCTGAAATTTAATTTCGAGTTTAAGTGAGTGTGTGCACTATTGTGATAAGTTTTTTTAAGAAATCATGGTGATGTAAGTCAAAATTTGAAGAATTATAAATTATTTTTACATTTATCGATATTTATGTAATTAAATAATGAATCTGAAATATTGTAACGAATGGACTTACATTACCGTGATTATCAAGGTTTATTAAGTACATGATGCAAGAGTGTCAGGTAAGCTGGATAATTGTTTGATGTTTACGAAGAAATTTTTAACTGATTAAACGTGATAATTTGTGGGAATGATTGATAACACTGATTGATTTTGACTGCGTCTTATTAATTCAATTGAACAAAGATTAACATGGAGTGAGTGTTATTAACAAAAATTAATCGGAAATAATTCAATGATTGGATGGATCATATAGGTCTACAGGTAATGATTATTTTATAGATAAACTCTACACACAAAGTTAAAGTTATCTGCTCGATACAAATAAAAGTGCAGCTAAAATTTCTTTTTTTAAATTTATACTCGAATTTAAGAAAAAAAAAAAAAAAGAAAAAAGGAAATGATTAATTTCCGCATCGGTGAAAACACGTTTGTATTCCTTTGTTTCAGGATTACCTAATCACACCGACCTCGGCGGACCTACAAAAGTCGCTCCCGCACACAGCCACGTCGATGCAGATGGGTGCTATAGCTCCTTCCATGGGTGGGCTGAGCCCGATGGGTCCATCGACGATGCTCCCGAACACGATGCAAAGCGTGAACACGATGAACACTATGTCGATGAACGGGATTGGAATGGGCGCGTACCAGGGAATGGGTTCCATGGGGATGTCTACGTCCCACGGTAGTTTTCACAACGGGTTGGTGTTAGGCGATTATCACTCGTTGTGACCCTGGGCTCCGAGCAGTCAGAGCAAGAGAAATCAAGAAAAAACTTAAGGAACGAAAAAGAAGAATGACGTGGAAACGAAGGAAGAAACTAGTTTTTTTTTCTTTTCTTTTCTTTTTTTTTTTTTTTTTTTTTTTTTTTTTTTTTTTTT